TGAATTTTTTTTTTTTATATAAAAAATTTTCTTTAAACGTTTTTTTTTTTTTTTTTTTTTTTTTTTTTTTTTTTTTTTTTTTTTTTTTTTTTTTTTTTGATTTTTTTTTTTTTTTTTTTTTCCCCCCGATAAAACTCGGTCATTGGGAAATAATCAAGTATATAATGTCCAGGTCTTCTTCAATTATTTTATATCGGACATGTAGATAATTAAAAGCCTTATCACACTTTGTTCCCCTCGTGTATCGCGGGTGTGTGTAATGCGTCAAAATATTTTTACTTAAAGTATGACCAACTGTTTTCGCATATACAAACATACGTATATTTTATAGATATAACTTCAAGCTCAACTGTATGACCTTCGTGTGGAAATTAGTTTATTGTTCGATAACTTTGAATTGTTTGTTAATTCATTCAAGCGACGAGTCGTCACTTTTAGGATTTTTTTTTTTTTCCAACATCCATATTGTAGTGACTCATTGCCTTGATTCAGGCGTCGATTATCTTTGAACCGTGTATGTTACTGCAATTAGCAGTGTATAACTACCTGCGTCGTCACATTTTCTTCACAATGAAAATGTCGTTTCTAGATTTTATCGGCAAAGTACACCCTTTACATAATGGCGTTTTGAACGAGCAAACCCACGAGATCGGTTAAAGTGGAAGATTAGAAAAAAAAAAAAAAAAAAAAAAAAAAAACTGGGTCAGAATGAAATATCAATTTTTTGCTTCCAGTCTTCAAGCTTCACTACAGAGCGACATTTTTAATACTACTATCGGCATCGCTACTCGTCACGTCGAGGCAGTTCTTCGGCGAACACATAAAGTAAGCGAATTCAGCTCAACAACCACACCTCGGTTGATTTTGCCTTAATCAACATTGCCATATTTTCCAGATGTATCACAGACCAGGGAATACCGGGCCACGTGATAGACTCGTTCTGCTTCTTCATGTCGACGTTCACGGTGGTAAGTGCGCGACACTATATTCCGTGACGCTTTTGTGACGACTCGTTAAAATGAAACTTCACGTGACTCAGACGAAGCACATGAACGCGTCTGCTCTGCTGGAGGGTGAGATACCGCATCCAGGGGTAGGTCCAGTCAACAAGAAGGACGAGGTCACGTTCCACGCTTACTACCAGTGGGTGCCGTTCGTCCTGTTCTTCCAAGCGATTCTCTTCTACTTGCCCCATCACATATGGCGATCCGTTGAAGGTTCAAAGTTTTGGTTATCGCATGTATATACAGTTGGCGATTAAAAAAATGACATGTATAATATATCGATAGGTGGCCGGCTGAAAATGCTGATGTCGGGTCTGCACATGGCGTCGATTTCCTTGCGGGAGGAGGAGATAGTGACCGATTCCGTGAAAGTTCCCTCCAAGTACGAAAAGGAGAACAAGATCAAGGACATACGCAGGGCCTTCATGAACCGGTTGCACCTGAATCGGCCCTGGGCGTACTACCTCGGGCTCTGCGAGCTTCTCAACTTGGTCAACGTGCTCACTCAGATGTACATCACCAACAAATTTCTGGGCGGGTCGTTTACGCGGATCGGCAATGACGTCGCCCACGGGGACTTTGACGGGCCCATGGACCCGTTGGACGTGATCTTTCCAAAAGTTAGTTTCTTTCATATATTTCTTTATTTTTACCTTACACGAGTTTTCTTCATCTGTTGGGTCGTCCAAAGAATCGCGCACAACGAGCTTTTGACTAATCGGTCGAATCTACAAGTTGGATGAAATAAGTATTGCCAATCAGTTAATCGTCCATGCGAAAATGTAAATAATGAGTAAAAGATCGGTAAAAGTTCACTGATTTGATCGGTAAATGTTATGATTTCTAACATCGTGCAACTCTCGTCCACCTACTACACGAGGTGACACTTATAATGTAGCTCGTGCGCGTGTGGATTTGTATGAAATACACTCTATGAATACAGGTCACAAAGTGCACCTTCCACAAGTACGGTGCATCGGGTGGCGTCCAGCGTCACGACGCGCTTTGCGTCATGGCACTCAACATCATCAACGAGAAGATCTACGCATTCCTCTGGTTCTGGTTCTTCATACTGGCGATCTGCTCGAGTATCGGTATCATATGGAGGCTTCTCACCATGGCACTGCATTCTAGGTATGATTATATTATACACTGGATGCTTTGAGACAAAATCATTATCCATGTAGTGAATGCGATGTTAGTAGAGTGGGAAACTAGGCCAATCATCTATAGATGGACAGACGGAGAATCGCGATCGTCGCGTTAGCTATATATAAATTGTGTTTTCGCGGAGGCGTTCGTTGCCTCTTGACTCGTATCTCGTGTTAAGCAAGGTCGAAGTCACAACGGCGTAGGTGTACATGAGGTACTTGTACTTATTTACGACCGTAAATCGGCACGTGCACTTCATTATTGGACGTTTTGCATTGTACCCCGAGTTGCAACGAATTAAGGTTAATACGACGAGCGAGGAATTTTTTTCGAATGGCATGTGTTTTTATTATTATTGGTACTTTTTTTTTTTTACCCGTCTTAAGTGATCGGGACTTTGACCTATGGCTCATATATTTATGTATTTAGAAGCCAAGTTCTCGTGCACATTGGTTCGAAAGATCGGTAAGTTTGACGAGCTATAGTCACGTAATTACGGCACTGTCCCATATTTCTTGGATGGATCGTAAAAAGTTACGATTAGTTTTTACACTGTCGAACGTTAAATTGTCACGAGTGCCGCGCTCTCTGTGAAGGTTTTTTTTTTTTCTTTTTCTTCAATGGGACTGAAACGACGTTAACACAGAAAAAAAGAAGAAAAAAAAACGACTATATACATATATATGTACAGTATGATAATGTATCGTCTTGTGTGTCCTTTCGCAGGAGCACGTACTTCAACAAGTTGGTATTCTCGATAGCCTGTCCCGGCAAGTATAATCCGTGGGACATACTCAAGGTAACGAACGAGTCGTACTTTGGGGACTGGCTGTTCCTCTACTACATAGCGCGCAACGTCGAGAATTACGTGTTTAAGGAGCTGTTGCAAGGATTGGCGCAAGATCTCGACGAAAAGCGGAAATCAATGTATCGCACGCTGCAGCCCCAAGCGGAGAAGGAGCCCCTACAGCCGAAGAACGAGTACAGGTGACCATTACATATATGTATTATCTGTAATACCTTGACACGTCCCATAATACCGAGAATATTACATACACTTATATGTACTTGTCACTCGACTGATTGTGGTGGTATAGCGTTGTGCGTGCATTACGTAAACTCGCGATGTATATATGTATACTATATAAATGTATGATCGGTTTTGGTGTGTTCACGAGACCCACGAGACCGTAAAAGCATCATTACTATTGACATTAATGGTTGGTTTTTACAGAGGTTTTTTTTTTTTTTTTCAAATTGTTATACTGAAACTCGTGTCGCGAGTGACAAGTACAACGCACATGCGAGAACTCTATTTTTAGCGCCTGGTTTTAATTGCCCGTCCTAAATTGCGCTTGTGTACAGTTTTAAATTGGTGTCGCAGCAATCTCGACTTACGTAAAGAGGCGGTCGCGATTTTTTAAAAAATCTGGTCGATGAGTTATATGTGTGAACGAACACTTAAGCGCCCTTGTCCACGCGTCGACACAATACTCCATTCTCACGTGGGACGCGTTGCCATACTTTCCACCCATTTTCCATCGATTCCCAGGAATGTAAAAATAAACGCACGAGCAACAAAGAGCCACTATAACGCAGCTGCCACGTATACTGTATTATACGCCGATAGTTTTCCCATCGGGTAATAATATACATCGCGTGCAATCCTACCCATACAGGTGAATGTTATAGGCGCGGGAGTGATAATTTGTGCACAATTGAGGCGCGTCACGGCTGTTTTTCCCGTTTACGAATTTGCATGGGAAAACGCCACCTTATGCGGACGCCGGAACTCGGTGATTCGCCGCGCTCCGACACACGCGATGGTTCGTCACGTATAGGTGTTTACGTGGAACGAGGGAGGAAGGGAGGCGCTCTCGCGAGTCACACATCTCGGGGATCGCCTTGATGATAACGATTTAATGGGAGACGCGTTACGCGCGCACTGGCCATTACGAAGTTGTTTTCTGTACATATACGTACACCACGAGTAAAAGAAAACATTTTTTTTTTTTTTTTTGCCGCTCTTCGTTTTTAATTCTCAAGCCTTGGGCGAGCGAATTTCGTCATTCATTGTAACCTGGTATTCGATGTACATGTATATACACGTTGCCGATTTATTTTATCCGTTTTTAACTCTGCCTACAAGGACACACAGTACACCGAAATCGAGATGAACAATAACCAACGACTTATAAACATTAATTGTTATACGTAGCGACGTTTTCATGCGTTTGTTTTGCAGACCCATCAAGGACTTGGAGGCGGCGCAGACAGATCTCATGAAGCCGTAAAGCTCGGCCATCTGTTGCCACTATCAACTGACGTACCACAGTTCGGAGTCAACGACTCCGCGCGATGACGACACGGATAGTTGCGATCGCAACAAGTGTGCATCAGGACGATCATGCGGCAATGAACAATCGACACGTGTGTCTACGTGCTCCAGTTTTTCTCTCTTTATCGTCGACTGATTGGTTCTTTTGATTTTTGCGTGTTTACCTTACGTAATGTGTATTGCGCAACTGCGTGTAACCGTAGGGACCCGGAGAAGAAGAGTTGCCGATCGTGTCTCATCGTGACGATTATGATGCTGTGCCGTTCCGAGAGAGAGAGAGAGAGATGTATTGTGCGATACCGTTCAAGGTAACGCACGCATGGACGAGCTTTTTTCACAGGCGACACACACGCGACGGCCTACATTCTTAAAGTTACAGGTTGGGATCGATATGTGGGTCGATCGTGTGTGTTTTTTTTTTTTTTTTTAATTTACCAAACGGTTGGCTCGTACCGATTTTCTTGGATCCTCGCGTGAAATAATCGTGCATTTACATATGTTTATCGTTTGTTCAAGGCGCTTTTCAGCCACATGTGATTCAACGGGACTTACTTGACAGTGCGAATTTTGTGCTGCCGATTTTTTTTTTCTTCTCTTTTTAGGACATGTATATAATACATATTGTACACTTTTATGAAGCATTTAATACTTGAACGCAAATTCAGAGTATCGCAAAGACAATACTTATGTATGTTAAGAGAAATCGTATGAAAACAAATTCGTCCAAAGGCGAATGAATGGATGACGCAATAACCGCGGGTGTGCGCTGTTACGCGCCAAACGCGGGAACCACCGATAACATCGGTATACGTATAGCTCCCCCTCCCCCCGTATATGGGGGTGTATGCGTAACGCCTATAGCTGGTTTTTCTCACTCGGTCGTTATACCTATGTATAATTACGTGTGATAATGTATACGTTGGGCCTATCGAATTCGCAACGACTGAGAACGTGTGTAATCTCTGTCACGTGGCGCCAACGATGTTGATCGTGAGAGGATTTGGATGAGTGCGCGTGAATACCCATAGTACGACGTAGGAGCTAGATTTTAATTGTTCGAAAAAAAAAAAAAAAAAAATGTATATGTACCTTACGGATGTACATATTTTTTTGCATTTGTTTTTCATGCAATGTGCACGCGTATGACATGAATTGTCATAAATGTTAATAAAAATCAAAAGTTATTTTACACGCGCAAGCGAGTGTTTATTTATCCACAATGCCCGTTATAGATTTTACCCCTCAATCATTGATCTCGAACGTTGTTATTAGAATTTTTTCACAATCAACGTACACGCCTGTACATACAGGTAAATATACGTATGCAAATAACATGACAGAGCACCAGCTCGATCTCTTACGTTTTTAATTCTAATGCTCACGTAATAAATTTAATAAGCGCTACTCGCGATAATCATGGTGATTACAGGCTGCATTCCTGGGCATAATGTATAAAGTACTGTCGATGAAGTGGAACGCCCAGCCCTTGGAGATAATTTTTTATGCAATGATTTGTTCGATAGAAAAAAAAAAAATTTCTGCGTTAATTGGTCGTCAAAGACCAGCCCAGAGAGAGAGAGAGGGGGATAAAAAGGCTCTCCCTATCATAACCAACTCATAGCACCAATCGAGTATGCATATATAATTCACCGCAACGCCTTTCGGCAAAGTTTAACCGGCGCGCCTTGATTCCCATACCACGTAACTTCACCCGGCGCCTGCACTCGATGTATATTATCTGTACTTACCTTGCACAACTCGCATTAGGTATACTAGACGGACATATATTCGCGACCCCTACAGCATAAGGACCTTGTGTTGTAGGGGTCGCGAATATCTCTGTCCGTCTATGGTGTACACACACCATTCCTTTCACCGTCAGCGGAGCGCAAATGTTTTAAAAACCGGTGAGCTTTGAGCGCCGCAGTTAAAAGCTCTCGCTCGAACGCGGGAAAAACAATGAAGAAAAAAAGCACCAAGGTCGGACAGGCGGTGCAGAGGATATTCCCCGCCTCAGGTGTCACGCACACACATGCATTTATACATAGCTGTCTCGATTGGCGCATCTCTGCGCTTCAATTGCGGCCTCGTTCCATTTGTCTTTTCTTCTTCTGTTTGTGTTGTTCTTCCTTTTTTTTTTTTTTTTTTTTGATTTTTTTTTTTTTTTTTTTTCCCCCCGATAAAACTCGGTCATTGGGAAATAATCAAGTATATAATGTCCAGGTCTTCTTCAATTATTTTATATCGGACATGTAGATAATTAAAAGCCTTATCACACTTTGTTCCCCTCNTTTGTGTTGTTCTTCCTTTTTTTTTTTTTTTTTTTTTCTTTTTGACACAGTGGCCGATCGGGCGACCCCAGTTTCAGGTACGGCATAGAAAGTTACAGGCAGACTGTACGGGATTGCATGCAGCTCGTCGAAAGTCGGGGGTAGGACCGAGAGCGGTCCTCCGGAGTTTTCGGAAGGGAGGCCGCAATAACTGTAGACGCGACGGAGAAAGTCTCGTTGGCCATTTTATGGGGGAGCCTGCAAATATAAATCGCAAAACGATCCATCATCCATCGCTGCTGGGAGGAGGGACACGCATATATTTATATGTACCGTTATTTACGACCGGCGCGAGAATTTTTTTCCTCCGGAAAACGTGCGAAAACTCGCCTCCACTCGAAGGGAGTTCGGTATTTCAAGGACCTTTTTTTTTTTAAAGGGGCACTCGGATCTCCGTGTTAATTATAAACACATCGGGCGTCGTTGCCACACGCGTCGGCTATAGCTCTGGTACACGCGATACTTGCTCAAAAGTAAACAGCACGCAGGTTTTAGGAAGGTTCCGGCCTTTGTCGCGGGACCTTAAATGGCACTTCGACTCGACACAAAACATACCCCTCTACCAAGCACTCGCTGCCACATGTATATAGGCAGCATTTTCATGTACACGTCACCGCCTACGTTGCATTTGAGATGTGGTCCGAAAAGGATGAAGGAGGAACTTTGCGCGGGGCAGTTTTGACAGGGTGGAAAGGCCGTAAATCGCAACGAGGGACAATTTGACTCGCAGATGACGACCGGAGGAGGGGAAGGACTCCGATTTTTGGCTTCCATTCCCCAGGAGCAGCGTGACGTGGGACGTGACTTTCGACACGACTCCGGGAGCTACGCGTTCAGCACGTGTTTCCGAGATTTTTCTTGGGATTTAGGGGGAGTGTTGGGCCGGCGGGGAAAGGATCGGTGTCTCGAGGGAATAGGCAGAATCGAGGATGACTTTAGAGCCAATGACGACGCGCGCAAGGATTAAGATAAATACTGGAAAGCCGAGAAAATATACGTGTATAATATACACGCTTACGGACGCATCGCGATGATCTGTTGCTCCTTCCGTGTACTTTCGAGAGAAACAGTTGCGATTTTTCCCAGGACGCGCAAACGATACGCACCCAGTGAATTTAGGGCTCGGCAAACGTGAGGATTTGTCGGTCGATTTGCAAATTGTTCAAATCAACATAGCAAGGCTCGTACGGTTTCTGGAAAGGCCACCAATGGTAATAGGAGTAAAAAAAAAAAAAAAAAAAAAAAAGCCATTTGCATGTTGTCTCTCCCAATCAGTAAAGTTTCGCCGTACCTCTACGCGTATTTTCTCGGGATTATCGTAATAAAAATAATACCGTGATCGACAGATCCTACAGCTTGGGGGGAAAAAAAAAATCGCTCTCCGAGAAACTGCACACTACTTAGCTCGCGTTTAAATATTTAAATTCGGAGCCCGAGGCTTTTATTTACCTACTTGCGTATACTCGGTGACGAGGACGCGGCAGTGAGTGTCCAATGTCACGATTGATGTATCGCAGTTGCGCGTGTATGCAATATTAATAAATCGTTCCGCAACGCGTTGGACTTTTTTTTTTTTCCTTCTCATCGGACGCACTGTATATACTTTGAAATTTAAATGCGCCTCTATTACGAAATAACTCTTCCTGAGGTTGCGAGAGGGAAAAAAACCCGGCTTATCTGAAAACTCGGCGGGATCGGCAAAAATCGGGTTATTCGATTTTCTTGTCGCAGCTTACCGCGGCTTAGCATCGAATTGACTCAACGATCCGTCAGGGATTCCGCACAAATCTCCAAAACAGCGGCAAAAAGCCTATTTGCAGAAACTGTGAAAAGGAAAAAAATAAAGGATATTGTGCATCGCTAACGACTTCCCTCCTCGGATTAGCATGAAAATGGTGTGTTTTCGTCACTCGCGCCAACTCCTCATTCCAATCGCAACGTTTGCCACGGGCGATTCTCACGCCTCGATAATTCATTCTCTCAGCCTTCGCGCGACAAAGATTAGCCGTACTGCGGACGCGTGCAATTACTCGCTCGTCAGGCGCGTCGCTCAACGTACATATGACAACAGCGAGGCCCATCGTCAGCTCTGCGGGAAATTAAATGCCAAGAGGTTGTGGGAGTCGAATATAATATATACATGCTCTCACTTGACAGCCCGACGAGTCGACCGCACACAATATCGTCTTCGCTTTGAAACGCATACTCGGTCTTTGCTATCGTAATTGTTTTTTACTTTACGATGGCCATTTTTACCATTATTACGCACACACACAGAGCTAGAATATTAGTTTTCTAAAAAAAGACATTATAGCTTCGGAAGGAAAAGGTATGTACAAAAGGAGTTTCGTCTAAAACTGCAGGAAGAAAAAAAAAAAAATCTCACAAGGCGGACTATCGCATCTTGTGCGTCACATGGCCTGCATCCTCGATCCATTAAAAATAGACGAGGGAGATCTCGTTTCTATCTCCATTTAAGTAAATATATACAACTTACCCGGTGGTGAGTGAGTATATAAGGGTTTTATATGCAGGCGACGCGACGCCAGTCTCAACATCTGCTACTATATACCGTGTATATACGTATACATCGAGAAGAGAAAGACATCCGTTCCAGAGATATACTATCCCATGTGCAATGTATGGAGTTTACATTGTATTTTTTGTACGTTTATAAATGTACCTATACATGAGGACAAATGCACACGATTTTATTATTTTCTGTTTTTCAACAACTAATACAATTCAGACGGTACAGCTTACCCACAATTAGCCCTTAGTGCATATCATAATGTATTAAATGTGTAATATTTCGCCGCGCGTTCTTTCCTTCCGTAAATAACTTATAATATACACAGCTCTACCCAAGGAGGAGCTGTCATCCGGAGCTCGGGGTCGACATACATTCGTCATAATTGTCACTATTGACCAGCAGGGGTTCTCAAACGACTCTCGTATGGAGGCTGTACATGCATTGCCGCTCCAATTACCACTTGTAAGAGTACGCTTTTATGTATATACATATTATAACAGTCAAGTGTGCCTGATGCGCGTGTATGAGAGAAGAGATGAGACGAGAGTGGACGACACACAGCGTCTCGACGCACGGTCAATTCGCTCTTTCATTACATTAATGTACAAGTACGCACGTACACGCGTGTATGTGTGATGATAAAGGTAATAAAGGAGGAGAGGATGAGTGACCTGGTTTAGCGACGCGCACAGCCTCTCGGGGAAGCCGAAGAATACTTATCTAAATGCTTACCTCGTTTTTTTTTTTTTTTTTTTTTTTTGCACTACTGTACCTGAGAGAGGAAAAAAGTAATAATTCATTTTTGTTTTTTGTCACCTAAGACTTTTCTTTCGATAAAAAACAGATTTTGACTTTGTATCTTTGCTTGGAGCACATGTATGTTTCTTTTCTTTAAATTGTATCACGCATAAGTACAAGTAATGATGGTCTATGCCATATGTACCTACCAACTCCTTAAAAATATCTGACTTGTTGGGTACTTTGAATAATCGTCCTTTTAACTTTTGATTATATTTACAATTGCTGAGAGATGAACGAGAGAGGAAGCCACACGCCCGATTCATCTCATCCCATAGTTGTTCGTACGATCTCCATCGATTTCCATATAATGTCAATCTATTTTTTTGTTTAATTTTTTTTCAATGCTTCATATTTTGATAAATTCCAGGGAATCGGCGCCTCCTACCCTCCTGTACCTCCATGAAAGGAAGCCGCTCACAGATTCAGAGATTTCGCATAATGCGCCTTCATATTACATGTATAGTACACGTATTATTTAACCCGTCCAACCGATCTATATATACTCATGGCAAAAGCCAAAGTGAAAT